TACAACCAGAGGAGTCGCCCCCTGGTGGACACTAGAGAGAATGCAGCGTTAACACATGAAGCTTTGACTTCACTTGGCAGAACCGGAGGTTGCCTCCTGAACCCGACACACTGGCTTCTTCTTGTTGTCGTCCTGATATCCGAGAAGTTTCTCACCAACGACAATGCATATAAATTTCAATCAATTAATCAATCAAAGTCTTATTTGTGCAGCACCTTTCAAAGTGCTGCACAAATGATAAAACTGCTGGAAAAACTAGCTTAAGCTTTTTTAGTGACATCTGCAAATGACGAATAACTTTTAAAAGAGACCCCCAAACATTTTGCTATTGAGGCTTTCAGGGGGTCTCATGACATCATCGAGCCCCACGTACAGGAATAACCCACATCAAGCTGATCCAGAGCTCTTTATAACTCACCCTGACGTATTCCCTTTCATCATCCATATTCATCCGTCAGCTTTAAAATGCAATCTGCTTGTAATCAATTTGTTCCATTCAGTTAGCTGCATGTTGACATTTGTTGACATTTACATTTCTTTGGTAAAGGCAGCGCACGGAGAAGAAGAAGAGACAGCCCACTGTAGGAAGGGATGCTCCTGTAAAGGAGCTGTATGGAGCCCTCTAGATTATACGGTCATGTGAACAGATGCTTAGAGGCGATACATCATCGTAGGATGCATGATTTAGCTCGTTGTGCTGGTTTATGAATGATGTATGCACAGTGGAGTAGTGCTATATTCACATTTAACTTCTAAACATTACAAAGGTCAATGCAAATCTAAACATTCACAGACTGACCGTGAAGGTTGCTTCTTCCTGTGGAACAATAAACGTTTTATTTTAATTTTGGAGATGTGCTCAGACAGCTTAAACTAGCAGCTATAAGAATACAAATCTGTTTTATAATTACAATTATAGACTTCATCGTAATAAAAAACTGCCAATATCAACCTTTCTTATGTCACATCTACCGGAACAAACGGACTGAGAGCATCATCCTCTGACCGTGTAGAGAGATTCAACACAGAACAGCAGAAAAGAAACAAGTTGAGACTCGAACAGAAAGTTTGACACGAAGTGTTCAGGAGGAGATGCTCATGTTTCACGTCAAAGCAAAACTGCAGCTTTGATTTGGAAAAGGAAGTCTCTCTTCCATTCTGTCTCTTCTCTGACATCATCCTAATCCCCCCCGCCCAATCGCCTGGAGTAATCACACACACACACACACACACACACACACACACACACACAGACATGCTTCTGCAAAGTGGTAGGGGACTGCAAAAATCGTGACTTTGCACACACACATGAATGCTGGGGGGGGGGGATTGCTAACGTCGTGACTGCAGCAGCCGAGCCAATCTCCCCCCCCCCGGCACAGCTTGTTGAAGTGTGTGAATGTTTTACGTCTGATTGATGCTGAAGTGCCAGAGATCTGACTCCGTCCTGGATGAAAGTGCTCCTCTCTGCGTCGTGCATATTCCTCCATATTCATGACTTACTTCAGTCGGCTGGTCTCTAACGCAGAGAAGCAGCTTTGTGTCCGGCATGCTGCAGATTTACTATTACAATGAACGCCAGTATTTAACAGCTCATTATGCTGTTGAGTGTTGCCTCCAGATGGTCAATCATTTCCATTTATTAACCTTCGCATTGCTTCCTTGTACCCACTTTATTTGCACACGTTTCTGCAGATTTGCAGCTTTAAGTTGTTGTATGTTTTGAGTCAACTATTACTTTTACTACACTTAATTCCTCTCGTGTTAAACCATAATTAGCATCTTATAGTAGACATTAAAGGGATGTACTTCTTCATAGTCAGGGTATTACTACAGTACATGGTGTACGTTAATAAAGGTCTTCATTAAGCAGACGGGATGCTGAAAACAGGCGTGAACTCTTCTCTGTATTGTTGTTAGGGTTATTGACCCGTGCTTTGTTTCCCCTGCAGGAGAACCCAGAGCGTTGGTCATGAACCTCTGAGGAGACAGGGCTCCTCCACCACCTGCCGGCCCCCTCAGCCGCTCTCCGCCCAGGCCATCAAACACATCTGGGTCCGGACGGCTCTGTTCGAGAAGGTCCTGGACCAGGTGGTCCAGTACATCGTGGACAACTCCAGGTGATGTGTTTTATTCTTCTAATTCTTCGCTCCCCTGCGGCGTTTCACGGCGCTGACTCACAGCTTTTGTTGAAGCAGAATGATGAGCAGTCGCCTATTTTAGTATCCCATTCTTCTTCTGTGGTTTTCTCTCTCTGGGTTTGTTTTGTTCTGTGTTTCAACGAGATGTTGAATGCACTTCACTGATCAAAGCCTCAAACGGGAAGTGCATCGACGCGGTTCACAGACGTACATGAACGTGAATTAAAAAATGGAGAAAAGTTCACCTTAGAACAGGGGTCTTCAACAGGGGGTCCGCGACCCCTAGGGGGTCCACGGAGGTACTGCAGGGGGTCCGCGAAATTTTTGGTTGATTAGACAATTAAAAAAAATAAATAAAATATATATATATATATAAAAATGTTTTCCCCAAACATGAATCTGTCCATTATTTTAATGGTTCAGTATTGTATGAAAGATAACAGGTATCTTTATGCATGGCAGTGGCACTAATAGGCCATCACTTATTTTCGTTTCCACATTTATGTTTAAAATAAAAACATGAGTTTGAATAGCTTGTATGCATGATTATCATGCAATTTACAGACAATGTTGATATTGGCATTGGTATCAGCTGACAAGGTATGTTTATAAATGGCAGTATAAACTCACTGTACTTTACACATGTTTAAAATGAAAACATGAATATATGAACCTGTGTATTATTTGAATAGCTTAGTATTGAATGCACAATAAAGAGGTATACATGGTACTAGGCTATATATATATACAATATATATAGTCGGGGGTCCCTGCTCCATCTCTCTCTATCAGTATGGGGGTCCTTGGCCTGAAAAACATTGAAGACCCCTGCACTAGAACATGTTGTGTGGTTCTTGTTGATAAAATCAAGGAAACTTGGCAACTGCAGTGTAGTTATATAGAAATAAAGATCAGGTGTTCAACAGTCACACGGCAGGAAATCTACCACAGATTCTCTGCAAACAACCTCCGTAGACCTGCAGCCTGAACTGCGAAGTGAGTTCAACTAAATCTGTCTCTCATTGGGTTTACCAGCTTCACTGAGCCTAACAGACTAAAGGAAGACATCTCAGTCACATGTCTAATGCAACATCATCAGTAGCATAAGTGAGAGAAATAAAATTATACGAGATGAAACTCCATTACTGTGGCAGCAAATTTCAAAGCATGATAAACAACAGGAATGATATAAAAACAGTTTATTAAAAGGCAACAGTCTCTTGTCCTATTGTCATCCTATTCAGTCTAAAGAGATTAATAATGATAAAGTTGCTCATCTAGAGTTGCTGTAATCACTTTAAGGAACATAATAAACGTAGCACTATTTATTAGCAGCTATAAAAGTCACAATTCAGGCTGTTATATAACTAAAATACAATCTCTTCTGTATGTTCTGCATCTTGTTTTTAACATAAGACTGCAGCGGTGCCCCATGGGTGGTACCAGATAACTTAAGTTGAGCTCTAACGTAACTGGTTTCTGTCTTTGTGATACAGCTTCCAGGATGCACTGCAGCCGTTAGTTTGATAATGTTTCCCTTTGATTCACTTTTTCTTGTCTGTGTGTTTTCTTTCTGCAGTAAATACTACGAGAGGGAAGCTCTGATGCATGACTCAGTGTTCGGTCCCATCCTGGCAGCCCTGCTGGGTGAGTATATCACACTGAGCTTTAACTGCCAACATCACCAGAGACCAGTAACAAAAAGTACAAAACCACAGAACCCACAACATCTCTGTGCTCATGTTGAAAAAAACAAGACCCCTCCGCCAGAAGATTTGGGTATAAATGAACAACACCGCGGTCACATGACTACGTGTCAGCACCACTAAGCTGAAGGGAAACTAGTGCGACGTATCCTCACGTACGATGTCTTCAATTATTTTGTGCGTTTTCCTACAAATCTCGAGCAACACGTGTCACTTTACGTTCGTTACATGAATACAGTCTTTTCAAAATAAACTTCGGTCTTCACAGGAAACTACTCAGTTAGGTTTAGGAAAAGATCGGGGTTTGTGATAAAATAACTATAGAAGTGGCGTCACTTAAGTACGGAAGTCAAATGACGGATAAATCAACGTTGACAACAGTCTCTTGGAGGAAAGACCGATTCGACCAAACTCATCCTGTGTGTGCTTTTGTGGTCTTTATACTTCCTGGTTCACGATTGGTGGAGAACATATTTGTGGGATATCTCAAAAATAAAATGTTGTTTCATATTCTCATTATTATCTACCCAAGATATTCCTCGTCGTCAGTGTTTTATAAAAGGAAAAAAACAATTAAAGAAATCTTAAGTGAAGAAGTTAAAATGAAACTCCAAAGTATAGTTTGAATTTTGTCCTACGGTGTTAATTTCAAGTGCCTTAATCATTTAGAGTGTTAATTGTGAAGAAGAAATGCTACTCACAGCTCTTAACCTGTGACTGTATGAAACAGTCAATAAAATATGTTTTTAAAGAATTGTGAATTACTGCAAAAACAAGAAGTCCTTGAGCACGCTGTCATGAATCAGCACAAAATAATACGAGGCTGATGGGTCCAGTAGGATGCCCGATCAGCTGTGGACAGACAGACAGATGCACACGCACACACGACCAAACGCATGATCCCCTCCAGGCTCACGTGTGGCGAAGATAATTAGACATTAGTCACTACGGGAATCTGCAGTCATAGAGAAATGACTCTCGGAGCAATTTGTGAGACAAAGTAGAGCGTCGTCCTCTCAGCGTGTGTCAGAAGAACCAGACACAACATTTAACACACAGAGAGACACACACATGCAGCGAGGCGGGAGAATAAAACACACGGCTGAACTGACTGAACCAGAAGAAGACCCCATGAACAGTGAGACGTAATAAACACTCAGTCCACTCTGACTGAGGAGGCAACGAGCTGCAGAGGAGAGCAGAGTCAGGACACACTGGAGACACCTGGTGGACACATGAGGAACAGCAGGGACACAAACGCACATCACCATGTCCACATTTTATACATAACTACTATCAAATATGTGATGGTTTTTGGCACACAAAACGGTGATCAATCTGTGACTTTGGACCCTTAAACTTACTAACTCAAATTTGAAAATGATATATTTATATATGCAGTTAAATATTGTTACATATATTCATTCCATTTGAGTAGCTCTATTTCTGCTGTTTATCAAAACCACCACGCAATTTTTAATCTGTTTTTAATCATACCTCTTACTCTTAAAACTTAGAACCATTCTTAAGAATTATTTCTACTGTTAACGTTCTGAAATGATGATTTACTGTTTAGTGTATAACTTATTAGAGCAAAGCTTCAGTCAAACCAGTGATATTCCCACTGTGGATAAATGTATTTTATATAATTAACTCTTGAAATGATGAAGGCACTTATAAATGACAAGTTATTACAAAATGTAAACTATACTTTGGTGTTTTTTACGTCTTTACTTATTTTTCTTTCTACAAAATGAACCAAAACAATGAGGAAGATCTCGGATGGATAATAATGAGAATAGATATGAAACTAAATTTTAATCGTACCCTCTAAACTAAAGATAAATCAGCTTATTTACATATTTCTATGGTTATTTACCAGCTGCTCTTAAACTGGAATTAAATACACGATTATTGGTTACGATTATTTTCCTATAAATAGCCCTGTACCTTTAAGAAAAGTCCCAACAATAAATACATCTAACAAGGGATATGTCTGTATATCAAGAGCCTTCCTCTGTGTCATAGAGCTCTATTGTTGTACATAAACTATTTAAAAACACACCATCCCACACACACACGCACACACACACACACCCCGTCCTGCTGCCCCAAATACTCAATGTGATGCACTAAATGTGGATTAATCCACAGATGAAAATAGTCCCCAACAAGTGCACTATTTCATCCTGTGTGAGTAACGTTTTAAAGGTGATTGTATCTGTTCATATGGATTAAAGTCTGATGACCAGAGTCAGTATTTGTTGTCATTAAGAACAATAAATAAATAACTTCAGACTTAAATAGCAAAAATACAAACAAAGGCTAAAAGCTGAACATTAACATCAACATTTGTAAGATGTCAGACATAACATAAACACTACAGACCCTGGTAGGGCGGATTAGATTCAGTCATTTTTTTGAATATAGTGAACTTTCGAATGGTTTGAATTGATAACTTGTGCTCAGTCGGTGGGTCTGATAATGTGCGGTGTGTTCTCAGTGGGGCCCTGTGCTCTGGAATACACCAAACTGAAGACGTCGGATCATTTCTGGACCGACCCCTCGGCCAACGAGCTCGTCCAGCGCCATCGTATCCACGGAGCCCACCGGGGCCAAGACACCTCATGCGGCCGCCGGCCCGCCCTCGGGGTGAGCGTGGAGGCCGTTGTTCTTACATCAAGCGTTGGCGTCTGGTGCTGGGAGTCGGTGCTGAGGTTGTGTGGGATGTGCAAGTTGTACTAACTTGGCTGTTTTTAAAAACAATAAATCTTCTCTCTTGCAGATCCGTAAGAGGCAGTCGAGCGGCAGCATGTCAGATGACCGGTTTGCTGCGTCAGCGAGGGAGTACGTGGAGTCTCTTCACCAGAACTCCAGAACACATCTTCTCTACGGCAAAAACAACGTCCGGGTGCAGCCGGTACGACCGTGTGACCAGCTTTAATAACAGTTTCTCTGCCGTCTTCTGCCTGACTACAACTAAACTTCAAGTTGGTTTTCTCCAATAATCCTACAGAGCAGATGCATTTACCTGGAAATATCTGTGCTGCATTTATGTGATCTTTATTTTGGGTGAGAAACATTTGGTGGTCCTGATCCCACTCGTTCTTTAACGCGTAACACTTCACGTGAAATATGTGACACACTTAACTAATGTGCTTTGCAACACAGATAATATTTCCGTTGAGGACCACTAGACAAATATGCCTGATGCTCTCCGTTAGCGATGAAGAGCACCACAAACGCTTCCCTAAGCGTTGTATCAGCCACCGTCACGTGTCTGTCAGACGGACTGATATTGCTGAACTTTTGCAACTTTTTCTCTCAAAATATTACAACTTTATTCTTGAATTGCACAGAACACAAATATGTTGGAGGTGTTTTGAATGTGCAGACAGTTTTTGAATGTTAGCAAAAATCTAGCGGAAACACATTTGAGCTATCAAAGCCCAGGGGTTTATAGATGAATTAAAGAATTCACGTATCATTAACATGAACAGGTGCTTCATGCACATTGAAAGAGGTTAAAGACACAAAAGCAGACGGAGGAGTGAAACATGCTGACGTGTGTGCTGATTCAGCAGAGATAACAAAAAGTATTTGAAAGTTTTTCCTCCATAAATTGATGCATAAATATTCCCCAGAATGCAGGCGACGCAAAGAAAATTCTTCCATAAAGAAGAAAAATTCTTCCACAAGTCTTTGAAAAAAGCTGAATTTCTAACTTTAGTTTTCAACATTTTATTTATATTTTCTCCAGACCTTAAGAAACGTAAAAGAGAAGAGTTAATCCAGCAGCGTGCACGAGTCCAGGCAGTGAAGGTCGATTGCTTCCTGAACTGAGTTTACTTGACGGTTGTGTTATTGACGCACCGTTGCTCTGGAGTAAAAGCAGAAGCCGACATAAACATGCAGCACAGACGGAGAGACAGCTGGTGAACACATACACAGCAAATGATGGTTATTTTGGTCCATTATTGTGCTGCACACACACACACACACACACACACACACACACACACACATATATTTTGTATGTGTGATCTTTGAAATGAAAGCTGTCTGCTATGTGCTCTGAGCTGCCAAGTAGCTGCAACGTATTTGTGAAACGTATAATGAGCACAGCGCTCAGCCTTTGACTGAGCGGCTCTAACGCTCGAGGCTCAGTGCTCATGCAGATGAATGCAGCCGCGTGCTAAAGACGATGCTACGCTCTGAGTCCCATACCAGAACATAAGGCCTCATCCACATACATCCTCCTAAGAAGAGTCTACAACAGGATTAAGGACGTCTTCTTAAGCCACTCGTACTTCTGTTCCTCATAATGATGAATCTCACTGTCCTCTTAAATGAAGGTGTGTTCCAGTTGATCCTAATTAGCAGGTAAACTTCCTGCCAATCCTCACAAAAGGACACGAGACTGCAGGGCCGTGTGCAAACACACAGAAATTAAAATGGCCGAATGAAAGTTTAACGCAAAAACAAAATGAAGTGGAAGTACTTCTGCAGGAAGTGAGTTATCATATTTAATATCTTTAACAGTGGATATGAAATAACTCAAAAAATACGCATTAGTTGCTATTTAAGTTAAGTGTTGAAGTGATATTCATGTACTTATGTATTTTAAAAGACCATAATGCTTCTTAGAATAAATGTAATAAAAATGATTATTTAGAAAATATAATAAATGTCCAAAAAATATGATTTAAATCTTTTATTATACAATTGTAGACTTGAAGAAAAATGCAAAAATATATATAATTCTTCTCAAACAATTCAGCCATCAAATGTGTGAAAGTGTCTCTTTTTAAAGATTTATTTTTTATCTGAGAACAAATCACAAATAAGAAAATATTTTCAAAAGAAGTCGGTGAATGTCTGTTTAAAATTTTAAATATGTCATTCAACAGTATTTTAAAGCATCTCAGAACTTATCCTCTTTGAATATGATAAAGATATACAATTAAATTATAGTAGAATACATTCAGAGGAGCTGAAGTTTCAGATCATCTAGTCTGACGTTTAAATGTATTTCAGAGGTACTTCACACCTGAACCCTCATGTTATTTCCTCTCTTCTTCTTCTTCTTCTTCTTCTTCTTCTTCTTCTTCTTCTTCTTCTTCTTTTTCTTCTTCCGTCTCCGTCTCCGGCAGAAGAAAGAGATGGAGGTGTTGCGGGGCTACTTGTCGCTCCACCAGGCCGGAGATAACCTCACCCTGAAGTGGACGCCCAACCAGCTCATCAACGGCACGCTGGGAGACTGTGACCTGGAGAAGAGGTGGCCAAAACACACCCGATATGTATTTATAGATAATAAATCAATGACCTAAAGAACATTTAATGACGCTCAGATGATTCCTCTGAAGCCTCATTTTACACCTTTGTTTTACCCCAAGGTTAGAATAGATTTCATTTTATTTATTTATTATTATTTTTATTTTTATTTTTTAATTTTTATTTTTTTAAATTTTATTTATTTTATTTTTTTATTTTTTTATTTTTTATTTTTTTAACCCGGCAATATTGTTTCACATTCGTTAATCTTAGAGGATATCGTTTTTTTATTTCTATTATTTAGACAATATTTACTTTTATTTTACCATAATAACTTTGATGTCTTTCCGTCTCTGTCAGTATCTACTGGGACTATGCTCTGACTGTCCCTCTGCGCCAGATCGTCTGTATCCACTGTCACCAACGCCGTGAGTATGAACGCTGCTTTCACACAACGCCTCCTCATCAATCACTTTGTATTAAGAGCGTTCTCTCATGAAGTGTTTCATGAGCTGCTCTCATATCAACATATTGATTAAAGTGTAACATTTGCTGTTAATGTGCATCATTTTCTTTTCCTGTCTCACCCTTGCGTGAATGTTTTTTTCCAGCTGATTGTGGTGGCACACTGGTTCTGGTCAGTCAGGATGGAATCCAGCGGCCGCCTCTCCACTTCCCCCCCGGTGGTCACCTGCTGGCTTTCCTCTCCTGTCTGGAAACGGGCCTTTTACCTCGGGGTCAGCTGGAGCCCCCCCTCTGGTCCCAGAAAGGCAAGGTGAGTCACCTTGTTAGAGTTTTATTCACAACCGCACTTTCAAGTTTGAAAAAGTGAAGTCAAAGCTTCATGTGTTAAAGCTGCATTCTCTCTA